ATTAACGATCCGCGTGTAGTACAAATTGTAATGCATAATTCATCGGCAAGTCAAATTTATCTAATATACAGTCTAGTCTGTTTTATGCCACCTAGTAATGTGTACACACTGTGTTAAATTGACAAATTGGCGCACGAATAGTTTTCTGACAACGCAGAAGCAGGAATTTAATTTGAAGAATTAAATTTGAAAATAAAAAATGCTGCAACTCAATTGAGTTGCATCGATTTTTTGAAAAAAAATTTATTAATACTCGTATTAAAATATATTCACTAATGTTTGTTAATATTTATTAATTAGTGCATATTATATATATGACTAATTGTTTTATAATTAAATTATAAAATGCTGTATTATCATTTATAATTAATTGTGCATAATAAATAATGTAATATACAATTATATATACAATATACATTACAATTATATATAATTGTAATGTCATTTTCAAATCTTCAAGTTTGAAGATTTCTACACGTATAGATTTCTTCAGTATATTATACTTTTCTGCAAATTTGAAATACTGCTTTAGTATTTCAAATTTGTAAGAGTCGTCGATTTTAGAATTCAAAATGTCTTGCAATTGGAACATCTTTATACGTAAATTTCAAAAGTAACTTATGCGTTGGAAAGTTATTCGAATAAGATGGAAACACTAATAAGTTTCTGTTTCTAGGAATCTTTCCTTAAAAATTCACACGAATATTCCAACATTATAATAACGAAGTTTACGTATGCACCAAACAAATAGAACTTTTCACAAAGTGGAAGATAATCAAATCAAAAATATTCATTACAATGAATATTATATATTATATATAATTATAATTATAAATTATTTAATAGTATATATAATTATAAATAAATACATTATTATATATTATATATAATTATAATATTATATTATTATATATATAATTAAAAATAAATATAAACTGAAATAAATTGAAATAAAATAATAATATAACAATATTAATATGATAATAATAGAAATATAATAATAATAATCGTAATAAACTGAAACAAATAAAAATGTAAATTGAAATAAAGTAAATAATTGTAAATAAATACAAACTGAAATAAATAAAAATATTACAACAGATTGAAACGAAATAATAACATAACAATATTAACATGATAATAATA